AATTCCTGTTAATTTAGCGTCGTCTGCCAAAGCGAAGGAATACATGATCCACATCCTGACGTTTTACTCCACTGTCTGGAAGCGGTATGTTCTCGTGAATAACTGGAACTGATTTTAAAATATCGGTTATCGGACTGATTACAATCAAGTACAAGTCTTTAATTAATTTTTTTCCCTGCCGTGAAATTGTTGTTGCGATTATTAAATAATCTTCTTGTTCCAATGAGAATTATTTGATTACATCGAAAGAAGTCATTATTACAGATAAAACTTGTAGCAAGGTATCTGTAATTATAATCATTTGGATGGAATATTTAAATGGAATTAATCATTTTTTATCGGGGGGATGGGATACTTCAGAGACTGCGAACTGTCTATCCTTGGGGATTATTCCACCGGGCAATTTTCACGCGTGAATAATTATTCAGAGATTTGCATCTCTCGAGCTGTGATAATTTAAAAGTTTTAAGCTTCCTGTGCCCGTCCTTCAGATAATGCAGGGCATACACTAAATTACGTTGTGATGGAATTTACGAGGGAAAATTCAATAAATTTAACAAGTTTTCAGTTCTGGGCAGGGAAGTGGTTTATATAAATGAGCGAAAATATTCTTCATTGATTGTAAAAAAAAAACAATAAATTATACAAATCAATAGAATTAAATAAACCATTCAACTGATTACTGTAATTACTGTAATTCAAGTTTATTGATTTAGTAATGATTTAGTAATGACATCGGATGACTTGAAAATTGACTAAGATGTTTTTTGCAGAAAGAAATTTATAAATAATTTTGAAAATTAATTTTCGAGACCGTATAGATTGAAATGATGAGTTTTCTATCATCGGTTGGAGGTTTAGAGAGTTGAACACGGAGAAATTGATGATGAGCTGGAGTATTTCTCTCTTAATTATTCTCTCTTCATCCGAAACCGTCAAACTACTGGCTCGAACGAAACTTGTCGGTGTCAGCCATCCCAAAGTTTAGCCGCAAAACCTGAACTCTACCTTTAACCCTCCCCAACCCACGTGAGGATACGTCAGGATATTATCAACGTTATCAAATTACCTTTATCATCAATGTAGTTCTCCATGGCTGAACCGAGTTCGTAGATGGTCGAGAGGGCGACACAGACTTTGCGAATCCTCGGTGGTACCTCGTCCAGAAGACCTGGACTGCACTGGGCCGGGGGCATCCCCTGGATTCCAGGGAACACCACCAGGACGGTGATGGTCAGGGTCAGTAGACAAGTGCTGCACTTCATTTCTAATTTCATCGAATAAAATCAAAAAATTACATGATGTGAGTTTTTATTTATTTTTTTCATTTTCATCGCTATAAATTGTTATTAATTCTAAAAAAAATATATTTATTGTCATTGCGTTATTCTAGATAAATTTCTCGATAGAGATATTCTGTCAGGGCTATAGATCATCAATTCTGATTGATTATTATTGAGTATTGAACGTGGGGATACCTATCATGGATTTAACTATCAATTTCTCTTCAGGTTTGAGGGTAATAGGACATTCCTCATCTCCTGCGAGCGATGAAGAATTAATTCCCCGAAAATTGCGGAGGTCCCTGGGGCGATAATTTGTAGGGGTCGAGACAATGTTGCCAATTGCATCAGTATCAATATTATCGTCACTATCTCATTACAATTCACTTCACGTCGCCACAACTGACAGGTTGTGGGGGTGGTTGAGTGGATTTAAACGATTTAGAAGGCAATAGTTGCTTTTTTCTGGTAAGAGGTCCTCTTGAGAAAAAAAATATACACAGCCACTATCAGCTGGAGCAAATTAATTCGAGTTAATGGGTTCCTTGCTCTTATTTACGGCTCTTGGTGGGGGTTATAGCGTGTAATCAGGTGAAAAGTTACTGATTTTATTTTATCTAATCCGTATCTATTTTATTCCATCTCCAAAAATAGTCATTCGATCGATTCAAATCAACAATTTGAATCCAATCACATTTCATTATCCAATTAGTCGGCGACAGCTCTAAATTTTATTCAATAATATTATTACCCCTCATTATGTTATAATGCAAATATATTACTTAATATATTTACTACAAAAATATTAGCCCGAAAAATTAGTTCAATTTCTTGTTACATCCATTTATAATTTAATAATTAATAATTTTATAATTATTACAATAATGATAATTTACGATCACTCTAGGGTATCTTTTCCGTTTTTCACTGAAATCCCTGGAAATAATGTTTATTTATTATGAAGTTCATCGAGAATTTCAAACAGATTTTCCGAGAATGTAATTAATTTGCATCCGGTGGGGTTTCCTCCAAAGACATTTTCCCGTTCATGAAAAAAAGGTTTCAAATTCAAATAATCGCGTTGTGAAGAGTGCTGAAGGGGGTGGTGGGAGGATGTGGCAAAACCGGAAGTTGACAAGAGTTCCGTTGGGATATTGCCGTACCTAATGATCGACCCGTATAATCCCGACAAGTGATATCTCTCTCCATCG